GCGAAATGATCACTAGTTTAATAATAATCATGAGTTTGGCTGATTTAAATATGACATAAACTAATACAATAATACGATAATATTTTTATAAAAAATCTGTAAAATGGTCTCACTTATATTATAAATTAATAATATATAGATATAAGCATAAACAAAACTTAGTGCTTGTTCTATATTTATAATGAAATTATCTCTATATGTTTTTAATTGATACTATATGTTTTATTTGACATTTCATGATCCCACTGGAAAGAATAGTATCATAATGCATTTGAACATTCGCTCACCATTCACTTCTATTCTCTTTCTCAGAACCAAAACATGATATTTTCATCATTAGAGTCGGCCAGTTATCATATCCACCAAACTCACGCCAAGCTGTGGATAAGAGAGGGAAGTGAAAAAATTTGACGAATTTCTACACGTACTCAGTATAGTAGAGAGGGTTAGAGAAGTTAAAATGGGCATAAAGCCCGTGGGCCTAAACGAGCCAGTGTAAAATTATTAATCTGTCGCCTGCTTATTATCATGAAAAAATAAATAAGGCTTAGACGGATCCGTTTAGGACCTTTTTAACATACCCGTTAAATAAGTATCTGTTTAGGCTCGTTTATGGAAAAAAATTGTATATCTACTCTACTAAAATAGAGTCATTCTTTTTATCTACTGATACAAGTTGTCATTTAAATTTGGACTCTTTCTAGAATGTTACAAATAATATAATTGAACCGCATTACTTAAATTAAACCAACAAAATTAATGTAAAAAGACGACCTTAATGTAAACTACCTTCAAAATACGGCAGATATCTATGCGTATACCAAAAACACATATTTTCTCCTACAAATATAGAATGTTCTAAAAGAATATATATCATCAAAATATGGAATATGGAAATCTACTAATCTACTCTATTAAAATAGAGTCATTCTTTTTATCTACTGATACAAGTTGTCATTTAAATTTGGACTCTTTTTAAAGTGTTACAAATAATACAAGTTATATAGTTGATTGAACCGCATTACTTAAATTAAACCAGCGGTTATTTATGGAATAGAGTTTTGGGCTTACTTTTGTTTTTATGACATTTAATTGTTTAGTTTTTGGGCTTAGTATTAAAAAAAACTCCAAAAAACATTAAATAAACTTTCCACCTTAATAGATCAAAAATCAATTACTATTTTCAGGCCCAAAAATATTTAATATTTTGAACAAAACAAAATTATCTATTATTAATCACTTATTTAAATCATGTACTTTAAAACATGTTAATATTTTATCGCCCAAAAATATTTAATATTTTCAACAAAAAAATTATCTATTATTAATCACTCTTTTAATCATGTACTTTAAAACATATTAATATTTTTTATTATAAATAACAATCACTCTATCTTGATAAATTTTAATGGTAACTTTTAAATAATTTATTCTGTTATTTTTCTTAAATAATTTACAGATTTAAAAAAAAAATGTAAAGCAAAACCAAAAACAAAATCTAAACACTAAAATCCAAAACCAAAAGCTGAAAATGCAGGTTATATTTTTTACTTTTTTTATTTACAAAATAAACTATTTCAAAATTTTTAGAAAATTATTTTGTCAGCTTTTCAGTTTTAAATTACATGTTCGATTAATTGAGATTTGTTTGTTGGTAATATCAGTTCAAACTAACTCAGCGGATCTAAAAATTAAAAAACCAAACCAAAAGTTGAAAATGAAAAATAGAAACTTAAAAATCCAAAAACCAAAATTTAAAACAAAATTTAAAAATAAAAACTGAAACTAAAAACTGATGAAAAACAACTATCACCACAAATTTTGGTAAACTAATTTTATACCAAAATATTCTTTAAATTAAGATAAAACCTAATTATATATATTTTTAATCATAAAAAATTTCCGCGCTTTTCAAGTGCGGGTTAAAATCTAGTTTAAAATTAATTGAAAGGTAATCTTTTAAAAAATGTCATAATTTTTATAATTTGTGTTTTGAAGCAAATATGAATATGTATATTTATTTTATGTTTTTGAAAAAATATATATTATAATTATGTTTGAAACCTATTAGGAGTTATTGATATTTTATGATAGGATCAAATTAATATTAAAAAATAAATATTTTTAATTTTCAAAATTTACCTTAGTTTGAATTATTATTTATTATAAAGTTGTAAAATAAAAAAATGTTATTATAAACTATATTAAATATGAGAATAGACTAGTGACAAAAAAAATTGTATTCACAAAAAAAAAAAAACTAATGGGTATAACAGGCCTAAATGGGCATTTTTAGATTAAACAGACTTGAAAACGAGCAACGAGTATGTGCATAAGCTAATTTAAATTTACATGGTTTAAATGGCCATGACTTAAACGGATAGGACCTAAACGGGTCGGACAGCCCGTATTAACATCTCTACAGAGGGTAGAAGAAGTACCGCTCTTGATCTCCCACAGCTTGAATGAAGTCAATTTTATTAACAGTCGTCTTGATCTTTCTTCCAGATAGCAAGGCAGCCTCATTTACCAAGTATGCAAGGTCTGCCCTGAAAATCGGACATAAGAGTCAATGAGATTTACAACCGAAAACAAATTTACGAACAAGGATAGTATACAAAAGCCTAGCCTACCCAGTAAAACCAGTGGTCATTGTTGAGATTGAACCTTTGATTAATGAATGAAGAAGAACAACAAAGACGAATAGAACATTTTACCAAAAAAAAAGAAGAATAGAACAACAAGCTACGAAGAAGGAAGAAGAAAAGACTTGAAGCGCAAGAAACGGAGGAGCAAAGCAACGACAACAAGAAGTCAAAGATGAGTGGGAGGAGTAACTAGTTAGTTAGTAAGCTCACTAAGTTAAGTTGGAGTAGTTAAGACTTAAGAGTTGGTAATAGTTGCTAAGAGTGGTAGTTAAAGTAAGTTGTTTTATCTTTGCTTGTAAACTTAGTCTAGTGCCTAAATTAGAGGTATGGAAAACTGAGAGTTGTTAAGTCTAGAGTCCAAGTAACTGAGTTGTAGTAAGTAGTAAAACTACTATAAGATGTTTGTGTGGTGTTGCACGAAGTTATCCAATTCTGATAAGAAAAGACTTGGGAAACAAAAAAATGTAGACATATATAAGATAATCTCTCTTCTCTCTACGAGAACAAGAGCAAGCGTAATAGAGAGTGTCCTCTTGTATTTGGTTATACACAAGTGGCTAACAAGCGTGAGTGAGGTAAGAACAAAACAGAGTGTAAAAAACAGAGAGTCGAGGGGTCAAGCCAGTAGAGAAATGTCAACAGTCATAGAGACAATACTACCAAGGTTAAAGTCATTTCCTAAAGGAAGCTCTTTCTTTCACATGCACTCTCAAAATGGACTCACCTAAAAAAATTTCAGGCGTGAGGCATGAGAGCTCCACAAACTCACTTGCCGAGCAACTTATGAAGGGCACTTCAGCTTCCCTAACAACAGCCTTTGGGAGAACACTGAACGCCAATCCTTCATTCAAAAAGCAATGTTGCTTCACAGCTAAAAAACCATTGATGGCAAAAAACCATAAAGCATCATCATCATCATCAAGAGTAGAATATATAGTACAAAGAAGTGGTGGCCTTACAAATCTAGAGCTGAAAAAGCCATCAGAGCGTTTACCACGCGACCCGAACTCCTCTTTATAATTACCAAGCACCTTCACATATAGTACCAAAGAATTTAGCAATATGAACAAACATTGAAACAACATATGATCTGATTTAACTGAATTAGTTTTTTCTAGAAAACGTGTGTTTTCATAGAATATTTTTTTCTTATTTGATGCCAAAAAAAATCTTATTCCAAAAATTTTGAAAGTATCGAATAATAATATAGCAAGAAAAAATTATTAAGTAAATCAATATTTTAGAAAAATAAAAATTATTACGTAAATAAATAATTTAGCAATCCTAGCAAAAGAAACATAAGGTATTCCTAAACACTAACTACCTGATATAAATTCATTTTATTTCCTATAATTTTATTGATAAAAGGTATTGATTTCTAGTAAGAAGAAGAAAATATATACTAGTAATATAAAAAGAGCTTTTAAAAAATGTTAAAAAAAAACTTTTGTTAGCATGGAAACAAATTGTGAGGAATTCGTATCAAATATGATGCCGACTTTCCATAAACTCACATGCAAAAGAGCAGATGAGAAAGTAACACTCTGAGATAAGACAAGAACTCACCAAATTTTAAGCGAAAAAGAAGAAGAAATAAGACAACAACAATAACTAAATTATGTAATGTAATCTTCGAGAATTAGATTGGGGTCCACACTTCTCACTATCTCTTTCGACATTGGGAGACGTGGCTCATCATTATCATCGTCGACGCTCATGACGTCCTCTCCTATAGATTCTTGATGAATTGTTGAATGACCCACTCCTCGGTTTTTCGGTTTGTTAATTAAATCGAATACAAATTTACGGTTTTTAGAAAGAATATAAGTTTTTTGTTAATCACATCTAATATAATTTTGCAACATGTGTAGAGTTTCTAAATGGTCTATTGAAAAATTAAACACGCCACTACAACCGTATTTTGTTTCCCTATCCAACTTTTGTTTTTGTGTGTGCAAATGTTTCACTATCAGACTATTATCTATACGATATATTAAGCAATTTTTCCTACCGTTCTTTTTACAATACATAAAAAACGTTTCCTACCATCTTAATTAAAAAAATAGACATCAATTTTGTTTTTTATGTGCTGAATAAAACCTGCCTAACCGCTTATTCCATGAGGCACACTGAGAGTACACTGGTCGATCACTATTGGGGCATGTAAGGATTTATTTTTATACTAATGTTGTTCAGCCAAAACTGTCTTGTAGATCAATTTGTTATTCAATAATCAACCATTAATCTGCACTGTTACAATCAGTGCCTATCCTTTATTTCTTTTGTATTTATTTATCCTAATTATGGCGATTGAAGATTCAGTTGTTAATATATAAATCAACAAATAATTCAAGCCAACCACCTTCTCTTTTTTTCTTCTTTGGGCCAACACCACAATACAATACCATATATTAAAAATACAACACAATATTATTACAATTATTAGAAAATCACAAACAGAACAAAACGAAATTATAAAAAACCTTTTTCTTTTTAATCTCAAATCGTGGAGGACAGGACGCTCTAACTGCTGCACTTAGTCTCAGTGTGGACCCGTCTCAAAACCTCCCATTATTAACTTAAATATGTATATAGTTGATAATGCAAAATAAAAGTATTAAAACCTTTCCTTTTGTGTTGTGCTGTTTATTTAACATTCTGGTGTTTGTGTATGGTCTCTTTTAGGGTCATGGCAATAGTTATAGACCAAGAAGTTCCTCTGTGCCCATGCCATCGCCTCCCTTTGTTGCTGGCTCAATCCTCGGTTCCCTGAAGGTGCAGCCGATGGTGGTCTGCATGAGTTAGACCCGCCTACCGTGCATCCCGCTAGCTTAAAGTTTCTGTACTGCGCCACAAATGGTTGGTATCGATAGTCGGCTTTGATCCTCCCGTTCTCAGTTGCCCAGTCTGATGCATCCCATATTGATCCGTACACCCACATAGGTCTGGTAGGGAAGATAGCTTCAATCTTTCTATCATACGTACGTATGGGTACATCGTCTACATAAAATCTATATAATATGGAAAAATGATCAATTTAGGATATCAAACGTAACAGATAGGATATAATAAGTATAACGATTCCTATGTACATATACAAAATTTGATATTGACTTACACAATTTGATTAGGGTTCCACAGAATTGCGTAATGGTGAAAATCTTGAGTAGGATCAAACCACAAGTTGAATTTCATTTCTCTACCAATGACATTTCGGTCACCACTTCCTCTCACGAATACATTAGTCTGAAGGCTATAAGGCTTCCCAGGCGTTGTTCCTAGAAACTCGATATCAACCTCGTCGTGGTCTCCTCGATGCTCTTCGTGGTTCGAGAGCTAGAAATCCAAAAATTGATATGAAATTATGAATTTTCGTAGCTCTTAAGTTTAAAACTATATATATATATATAAAAAGTATCTGTATATAGTAAGTTAATCGGATCGTTTCAAGGGGATTTATTACAAAGAAGGACGTATCAACTCCAGCTGTGTAGCCTGATTGGACTTTAATAGAAGCACCAAAGTAACCCGATGTGTACGGACGGAGAGACTTGAATCCACTCCCTGTTCATAATCACATTTAAATTAGTCGCAGTGTTTCTATTATATACGACAAAAGCATAAAAGATGTGATTAGTTGACAAAAATAATGATGTGATTAGTTGACAAAAAAGTGATGTGATTAAAATAATTAATAGGGAATTTTATATAATAAACATAAGCTACCGACACTATTTTTCAATACGTGCGGTGAATTAAATAACATCAGAAACATAAATGCGGGAGGTTCAGTAATAAAAAACAAAATCGTCATATACCTAACTAAACCAATTCAAATCAAATTTACGTTAATTTTTTTTTCTATGTTCCTTTTTTTCAGATGAATACCATATTTTTTTTTAAACGTATATAACATGGTCCCAAAATATGGACCAGTGAACCGAGCCCACAATTTTTGGTGCACACTAAAAAGGCGAAAAAGAAAGAACAAGACCGGAAGATTTGTCGAGCCAAAGAGTGAGCATATCGTTTTCTCTGCGTTGGTGTTGAAACCCCCATTGAGTCCGAAAATCACGATCAAATGGTGAAGTCGGTACTCGAGAACTCGGGTAGTAACCCGGCGAAGGAGAACGTTGGCTGTAACCACAAGGGCACAACACCAAGATAACTAGAAGAATAAGAGGAAAAGCCATTTGAGGAGTGAAGTAGTAGAAACCCTTTGAGTGGTTACTACAAAAGGGAGAATAATTAGATTGATGAATGAATGAAGAGTACACAAGTGAGTGTTTAAATAGAGAGACTGTAGGTCCTACAGCTATAGGAGTGAGTGACTGTTATCCGTTGATTGGATGAGCCTTATAGATTGATCCTAATATCCCATACCAATTACCAAATATGAATATTTCATGTCAACTTGCATAATATATGAATTAAATCAAGAAAATGGTGTACATGATATGAAAATTCAAGAAAAGGAATCTGAAATTTTTTTCTATAAAGAGGCTAATGTATGTGTTCAAACCATACAGTTATACTTTGAATAACTGTATAAGGTGGTAGCTTTTTTACATCTTCATATTTTTTTTAATATCTTTTCTGCACTCCCAAAAATGATTTCAAGTTTTGTGGTAAAACGTTGTTTTCTATAATCAAAAATAGATTGAATACACTTATTTGGTAGAATGTTCAACCAAGGGTTAATTACTAATTTGGTTGTATATGATTTGGACTTTAATTAGAAGATTATCCCTTCGAATAAATGACTTAATTTGTGTATATTAAAAGACAGAAATACCCTTTTTCAGTTGGACGAAGATTAAGGTTTTTGGCCTCATCTTGCAGAGCCAAACTGAAAAAAGGTAAAGAGAAAATATATCTTACATAGATAAACGATTTCGGTTCCAGGGACGGCGTCATCTGTTTGTTTTGTTTGTCAAAAGTAGTATTATTATTCGAAGCCCAATAGCATTTACAGATGGTACAATACTGAAGATCGTAGCTCGTAGCCCAACACAATTCTACTAAAGATAAGCTTTGATAATACATGTGCAAGGCTAACTGCTTCAGCAAGTGGCACCTTCCACTACTAGAAAACTGGTACTAAACCTCTGTCTCGAGCAAATTGTTGACTGTCTCACTAAACCTCTGTCACGAGCAGCCTTCATTCCACTGTGCAACAAGATTGGTCCGTCTCACCTATGGTAATCCATCTCAAAGGAGCATGCTAGCATAGGATATTCTCATATCTTATCTTGTAGTTATAGAATAAATATTTTTTTTTGAATTATACAAGAGTATCCTAACCCCACAGAAATGGTTTAGACTAGTTACGTGTTGTCATGTGTCGGTCCTATGTCCAAAAATGTTAATTCTCCAATGGTCAGGACTCAAACCCTGGTGGCTTCACCGTATTGGGCTTTTGCCATAATTATAAAATATTTCCTTAGCGTAGATACGTTCTAGATCTCTCATGTAACTATATATAAACACACTTGTAAATTTCTCTATTCAATAAGATGTTAGAGCTTAAAAAGAATATTGATGAACTTAAGAGAGGCATAGACAAAAGGGTTAAAAAGTCGAACGTAGCAAGTAAGAGGTGATAAACTAGCAAATACAATGAGGTAGGTTTGAAATGGTAATGTTAGTCTTAGCCGTTGGGGGTTGTTAAAGATCTCGAGAGACTGGTCGCTGTTATTACAATCTATATTTGGGTTTGTCGTTGAAACGAGAGTATTGTTGTTGCCTTATTCAAAGATACTTTGTGTTATGTACATTAGCTTCTATTGTATACACGAAAAAAACAAACAACTAAAAGGCTTAGTTGACTTTTACTATAAGCAGAGGAGTGAATAGAAGACGAGAGGTATAAATGCGTTGTCTAACTGCGCCGTGTAAGCTTCCAACATGCCAGTGGCAGTAACCGCAAGAAGAAGCGACCACCATCCTTGGCTTAGTATATAACCCATTGATGCTAATATTGGCACCAACACAAAGCACACTGCCATCACCGACGTTATTCCCGCTGCTGTTCCTTCTACAGTTTTCTCTGTTCGGCACAAAGAAAAAAACAAAACGTTAATTACGGAGTCAGATTAAAGAGCAAATAAATGAAGATGCTCACTTCCTGACTTGCTCCATCTTAATACTCCATATTTATGACCAACCATTGATGCCTGTAAAAGGAAAATTACAATGGAGGTTTCCAAAGGGTAGCATGTAAGTAATGTCTGAGTAAAATCTTTACCATTGTATCTCCAATTCCGAGGCTGAGGATTCCGGCAAATGGGGATAAAGCTCGGTCATTGAAACCAGAAGACATCCATATTGGAAGAGCACACCCAAGTAAGAGTGAGAAGTGGCTACAAATAAAGACATGTCGTCATCAGTGGTTTATCCAGATTGTGACAAAAAGAGTTTCCTAAACAGCTACCTGACGATCAGAAGCTCTGAGTCACGATGGTCTGTGAAAGCATTCATGAAGTGATGTAAAGGCTCTCCAAGCGGCTGTATTCTCCAGATCTGGTTTTGAATAATAAAAATGAATATCTTGCATAAGCACATTGAAATTAATAAAGCCGTGTTATGTAAGTTAGAGGAGGGCTTACTCGAATGATCTCCAATGCAATGAAAACCGCCAATGCTGCACCAAATGCTAGATCGAGAAACTTAGGCTGAATGAAAAGGACACGAAAATAGTGAGAAACTACTATAATACAACAGATTTCTAAATAGTAAAATTAGAGATTACTGATCCACCTGTAAGACAAGAGCCGGTAAGAACATTAAAACAGCCATCAGATGGTAGTACTTCCGGAGCAGGATTCTCTCAACCTTGCTACTCCTCGAGATGCTGTAGAATCTTGAGACCGACACAACGATCAACAGAACCCAGTAGATACATAATGAAAGCCTCTTCACAGGTTCAGAAAAGACAAATGTAAGCACCCTGCGATTAAAGAGTAAGAAAGTTAGCATGTGGACGTTAATGTAGAAAGGAAAATAACTAAGAGCAGAGATTTAAGTACAACCATAAGAAGGGATGCTGACTGAAACCATGAACAAACTGCATCCAAGAAGGAACAGCCACGACCATAAAGAAAACAAGTGAAACAAAGAATAAGACAGATTTTGCAGTATCACTGCAGTTTCTTTGTCCACCGTCTCTTTTTCTCAAATAGCTTTCGTATATATGCAGAACACATCTAAACACCATAGGGAAAAGTAGAAGGCCCAACAGTAGACCCTGAGAAAGAGACAGGGAAGCTGCTATTTAGCAAGTTTGTGTATTAATCTCCATTTTACCATTATATATATACCTGGACGATTATGCCAGTTTCCGTTCTCTTTATTCCATAGCTTATTGAGACAAGATCCACAGGTATCAATTTCTCGCAAATCTGTAACAGTCGTCGTACCAAAGTTATTGCTTAACCGTTCTTGTGTGCATGTAGTGACCACTAATGCATGAATTGTTCAAGGATTGGAAAAACTAAACCTTTGCAATTGTGCATGCCAGAAAGTCGCCAAAATAGAGAACAAGGCCACTGGTTACGAGAAGTGCTTCTCCTACAAACTTCATGAATGTTAAAACTACTACTTAATCCAAGAGGTGAATAGAAGTAGAATTTACCGATGGAGGCACAAGAAGGGAAAGTGGAAAGCAAATGTCGAATTAACTTCACAGCTGCAAGGCCGTGAAATAACATCCACAACATTTTCAAAGATGTGTTCAAGCCTGTCGAGATAAAGCAGTAACCAGTGAACACACCAATTAAAAGAAAGCCCCAACCTAGATCTTTAATTAGTTACCAGTGTGTGATATCATGGAAAGTGAAACAAAGCATGCAGCTCCATACAAGACCGTGCCACTTAAACTAACCCTCGTAAGCCAAAGGGACGAGGAGGACAAAGACTCAGTTTCCTTGGCTTGAGACATAATTACAGAGAGATATATAAGTATGGCGCAGCAGCTTGCAGATGCTGCCCAGTACTGCATTGTCACATGCGCCAGCTCTACAAAAAAAAACAGAGATTAAACATGTTCTGTGAGCAATCATAAACCATTTATTTTTCTTTTTGATAATCCGCGGACCGAACCCTAATTGATTAAACAGGGTCTGTGTGACAACCCGTCCCGTGGAACTCACAGCCAAAACAAATCAACTGGTAACAACTTGTCATGTGGGAGAATTGTTAAAGGGTGAGATCTCGAGTTCGAGGAACGCTAAACGCATCAATAACCTAAATAGGGAGTTGGAAGAGGTTAGGGTTGATGTACTGCTGTGAGCTTCTACGGGACAGTTGCGGCAGGATAAAACTGGTTGCTCGTAATAAGAATTAGATATTAATGTAGACTGAATGATAAATTTCGAATCCGGATGCTTAGCACATTTTACCAGGCTTGTGTGGTTATTATCATAAGCCCAATCATAAGAGTTAGTATGTGGAAATTACCATCTTGTTCAGCTTCATGGAGAGAGATAGCTCGTGTGAGCTGTACCAACTTAGACAACATAACAGAAGGAAGTGTAACTGCTCCCAACAATATCCCTGAAGATGCACCACGCCTGCCAACACAACATTTTTTTTTTTATTATTGAATCTCATAAATATAATTCGATTTGAAAAATTAATGCAATTGGAGAAATTAGATCTCTGAAACTAAACCTGGGGGAGAAACGAGAGAGAAGAAAGGGAGAAGTCTCGGCGCGGATTTCGACGAGGAAGGAGGAGAGGCAGAGGAGGAAGAGGGAGAAGCCATGAGAGATTAGAGATAGAGGGAGAGAGAGGATAACGCGAGATACAACGACTGCCACGACAACTCTCTCTCCCGTCATTAACGGCGTCTTCTTCGTCATCGGTGATATTCGCCGGCGGTCATAACGAGAGTTGATTTCTCGTTAGGCGCGCCGTGATCGTTATTCTTTGAGATTTTTCATTGGGCCGCTACCAAACGAGCCATGTATGCATTTACGGGGGCCCACAAACACGGTTTGGCACGGACTTTACGGTCACTCTACTTTATCACGTGTAAAAGTCAATCTCATCGGTCTGATTGTTTATTTCATATCACTTGTGAGTCGTGTGACAGAATAAACGGGATATTCTTTTCTTTAAGGGAAGTATTAAATACAGATCATTTGTAATCCATATTAATTTCGTTGGATGGGCTTTAGTTTAATAGGCCTTTTATATAATATATTGGGCTTTAAGTTTAATAGGCCTTCTATATAATGGATTGTTGGCAAACAATGTTTTTCGCGTGAAAAGGTCAAAATTGATCGGTTAACAGTTTATGTTTGACTCGGTTTAGCTTCGATTAAACATCAGTATTGGTTATTGGCATTTAGATTTTCAGCCGTTGAATGAGACAGATGAAAGAAAAAGATAAGGTTTTCTGAACTTGGGAGATTAAACAGAAATCCAAGTAACGAAATGAAAAAAAAATCGTAAAAAAAATCTCAGTTGAGATGGAGCTCAGTGTCAAGCTGCTGCCATCTTTTTCATATCCCTCCCCTGTTTCTAGTAAGCTTAACTAAACCCTATTTCTTAATTGGCAGGAATCGTATATTTACTAAGTTTCTCATTGTTGATTTTTTTGTGTGTGGTAGGTGTTAAAGATGTGAGATTATTAAACTCAGTATCGTTCTTTGATATGAAAAGATCCTCACATCAGAGAGCAAAGAGGTCATCATCAACGGCCATTCCAGCTTTAGTTGAAACAGCTGTTTCTGTTGCAATTGCAGCCACCGTTGTTGGCACTGCAGCCACTCTTCTTGTTCGGAGAAGTACCAAAGCCTCTGAAGAAGCCGAGGTAGTTACACGAATCTCTGCACCTTGTCATTGTTTCTTGTAGAATAATATTTAAATGGAATTGTAGGCATCTATGAAAGAATGTGAAGTGTGTGGCGGTTCAGGAATCTGTTCTGAGTGCAAAGGTGAAGGGTTTGTTTTGAAGAAACTATCTGATGAAACTGCTGAGAAAGCTAGACTCACTGCAAAGAACATGGCCACTCGATATACTGCCGGGTACGTTCTAGTGACTATTCTTTTTTTTTCTTTTCTTTTTTTTTTTTCATTTGGTTCTCAACAAAACTACATTTCTTCTTTAGGCTTCCCAAGAAATGGAGCTACTGCACTAAATGTTCCTCCACGAGATCTTGTATAACGTGTGGTGGAAGTGGAAAGATAAGCTTCTAGCTCCTTCCACAGATAATACTGTTATAGCATAGCTTTCTTGTAATGTTTGTTTAAATACTTTCAATCAAACTTAGTTTTTCACATTTGTAATCTTCACATGTCATATTAGTTTAGTTTCTTCTTGCGATATGTTGCTGAGACGTAAAGAGTACTAAAGTCAAATGAGACGTAAAGAGTACTAAAGTCAATTGCTTCTTTCTTTGGTCGTTTATATCTATCTTTATGACTCTCTCCAAGGAATAAAGGTTTCTTCATGTAGACTCTTTAAGTTATGACTTGCTACGTCTCTTTTTCAGTACATTTTCGTTGAACCAAAATAATGATTTTTGCAAGACTTTTAAAAACATGACTTTTCATATAAAACATAGAGCGCCGGGCTCACTGAACTTCACTTTAACAAGTGAGGATCTTACTCGGTACATCTCTCATAAGAGTAAACATAAAAACACAAAGCTAACTTTGAGGGTTATTTATATATGGAAAAAAAAAGAGGTAATGTATATATCATCCTTCACTAGACATGAGCAGGAGTTCCCATCTCCGGCGTCGGAATATCAGCCAAAACCGCCTTCCGGCCTCTCTCCGACCGACTATTCTCAGCGAATTTAATACTTCCCTCATGTAATCCCAAGCTCTTCTCCTCCTCTGTCCACTCCCCTCCATAGTAATGCTCCTCCTTCGACCTCTCCTCGTGTTGCGACGGCCTCAAGAACATACTCCCCCACTGCGGAAAATGAATAAACGCAACCGGAATAGTACACACAACCGCCATAACACCCATCAACGACAATCCTTCCGCTGTACTAAACCTCGACGACGAGAAAAAAAGAAGCTGAGTCACACCCGAACCAAAGTTCCCTCCAGCGCCAGTTAGTCCCGAGATAAGTCCCAGAGAACGTCGAGAAACAAAAGGTGCAACACCAAAGAGGGCTCCACAAGCTGCTTGTGTGCCAATGGAAAACAGCATCATGGCTAAGATTGCGATAGGGAGTGTACTAGCACGACCGAGCCAGACGCAGAAGAGTGCTCCAACGGTTTGTAAGATCCACAACGTCCATAAACGTCCTCTCATGCCGAAAAGACGTGCTGCTACGTCTGAGGCGTAACCACCGAAGGGACGTGCGAAGAAGTTTGCCATGCCGAAACTGGCTGCTACTATACCGGCTGTGTGGAGCGTTAGGTTAAACCTATCGTAGAAGTATCCGGATATAACGTTGTTGATGGTTAACTCAACTCCCATAGAGAATCCGTAGAGAACAAACATGATCCATGTTCTGTAGTTCTTCACAGCGAACCAGAATACCTATAAAATAATATCATAACAAGGAATAATGGGATTAGAATCGAATATACTTGTTTTAACTTAAATATTACTTTATCTGTTTCAAGAAAATTAAATGTAAAAGAAAATGAAAATTTTAGAATTTTCATTACATATTACATTAATGTATTATCTTCAAAACTTTTAATCAATAGACTTCTAATAAACAAATTTCTTTTTTGAAAGTTACAATTTACTACGCCCTCTGTTTCAGTGAGTTAAACTTGTTGTTGTAGATAAAATTTTATATATTTTTCTATTTTTAGTGGTTAAAATGTAATTAGGTGTATAGGTAATTATGTTTTTATTTTGAAAATATGTAAAATTAAATGTTTTTTAATCTGTATGAAACTTTAAAACGATAACTAAAATGAAGCCGAGAGAGTATTAAATAATGCAATGAAGATATATAAAAAGTATCTTTTTTTCTAAAACATGTATTTTTCGAAATGGAGGGAGTAATATTTATATTTTGTAGTTTGTTGTAATTAATCGTTTTGAGAAAAAAATGTTGTAATTAATTACCTTGGAAAATTTGTCTTTGGAAACTTGACCACTTTTCTGGAGGGTACTAAGGTTACCATCGGGGAGATCTTGGCCGAGAGTGAGGACTAAAATGCCCATAATGATCTGAAGAATACCAGGGATGAAGAAGGCAAACCTCCACGCCGTGAAAGGAGTGGCTCCAGCGAGTTTGATGACGTGGAAGACCATTGGCATGAGCAACTGAGTCACACCTCCTCCCATATCTCCCCACCCTCCAGCACATCCGTTAACGAGTCCAATAATTTTCCCAGTGAACATAACGCTAGTCCAGTACTGGCACGACACGAATGTCGCTAAGCAAAAACCAATCATGAACCTCACGGCTAAGTAACTTCCAGCATCAGCTACGAAAGACATGGAGAAAACAGCTGGAGCTGAGAGCAAAAGAGAGAAAGCAGTGCCGTAACGTGCCCCTAGAAGGTCACATACTGCACCCATAGCGAGTCTTGAGAAAATGGCGCCAGAGACGGACGCGACACCAGCGTTTCCTATGTCGGTTTTGGTGAGGTCGAGGTTGTCACGGATGACTGGGACTAGAGGTGCGGCTGCGAAGGTAGAGATGAAGCAAGTGAAGAAAGAGATCCATCCTAAGTGGAAGGCTCTCATGTGTGGTTTGGCGAATGAGAGTGGTTTGAACACTTTGGCTCTATGTTCTGAGTCGACCGGCAAGGCGAACTTAGCCGTTGGATCATTTGTTCGGATGGGTTGAGATGAAGGGCCATCTTCAACGGAGAAAGAGAAGACTTGCTCCCTTCCCGTGACTCCATGCAAGGAGCTACCAATAGAGCCGTCTTCGTTAGAAGCCATTGAGATCTTTTTGTTCAAAGAAAATGGGAGATATTTAAAAGAAAGGCTTTTTCTTCTTTATGGCCTTTGTTGTTTTTCTCTTGTTTTGGGTGTAAGTTGAGAAAGAGAAGTTGCAACGTATTTATAGAGGAGTTGGAGATCTCATATGGACATGGTGGGTGTCGTTTGTTGAGTTTGAATAATGAGTTTATTTGTATATTATTATTATAGTTTGTTTAGAGTTTATTGCTTCAGAAATTTTTATTATAGTTCACACGAAGATGAGAATATTCTATTAGTACTAAGCATATGTATACTGCAACTTACGTGGTCTATTGATTATACATTTGTCTATTTAATTAAGTCAGTAGGTGTCATTAATAACTTGTACCATACAATGTACAGATTACAAATATTTATTTGAACATTATACAAAACCATTGTAACCCGCCGTTATATATTATATACTAAAATTTTAGATTATTTTACGTACGAGTTGAATAAAATGGGGGAGAATAACGTGTCATTTTGACCGCCGGCTTAGCGTCCATTTTGCATACGCGTAGCTAATGTCCATGATGAGTCTTCCGAATGCATTGAAGTTTCTAGCTGGATATAGTAATATATACATTATATTGTTAACTTACACGAATTTCATAACGGTGAATATATTACAATGTAGGACTTGATGACTTGAAGTTAATTTAAAGGCAATTCAATCCGTACTGTTCGTTCTATCATACTAAAATATTGATTTCAGTTTGTCTTTTGTGAATTGTACCATGTGGTCGCGTCACCAATCTGAATTCTTTCAAATTTATACTAAATATTTCTTTTTCGCAAGTTGTATATACATTTGTAGAAACGCATGGGTTATTAATTAAGTTTCGCGTTTCTTTTTGTTACAAGTTCTTTCCATAATCTTTTCTAATATTTATCACAAACTGACCGCTACTAGAACTAATGATTTTGAGTAAAATTTAAAGAAAACAAGACCCTAGCCCACTTGATAAGTTTCGCGTCTTTTTTTCAATATTCAAAAAAAAAAAATTATGTAAGTTATCCAATAAGTATAAAATTTTAAGAGCTCATGAATGGTTAAAGTTTCCATTTTTTCATCAGGACCATTTCTCAGTCAGAAGGTGTGACTTATATATCCAACATATCTACATCCAAATCTAATGTACTATTGTGAACTTGGAAAAACAACACATTTGTAAAAAACAAAAAACATTTTGTAAACAGTTATCAGAGACCATCTGGTTGAACATAAACAGTTTGACTGAACAAATGTTTAGGAGAGTTTTCAGTATATGCACCTATAGCATCCTTGAGAAAGTGGTACAAACCTTTTCCCTAAATCTTACTAATTCTACAATTACTAAATGACATTATTTTGTGTGTTCAGTCACACAATATCATGAATTATTTTTGATAGGTCATCTATCATTTGACTAATCCAACTCAATTTTACTTAATTTTAGAGTTCTTTTTAGATGTGTTTTCAAAAAAGTAAACATATTTTGGTGATATAGATAATCAAATCAATTCTCTTAAATCTTTGTATATACAACAAACTAGAATGTTAAAGTTCGCTTTCTTTTAAAGAACGCAATCTCTTCGTTGCACTCCAAGATCGTTATCCATGTTATTATGAGTCCTTATCGACTTCTTATTTTCTAGATTCAATTTTGATATCACTTATAACGTCCCGACCATGGACCTTCAGTGGCTTCATTCATCTTGTTTACTAAACATGCAATCTTTACATGATTTTCCTCGTGTTTTGACCTCATTCACACAATATCACATATCATTTTTTGATAGATCACTCATCTTTTTATTATTTCAAGTTAAACACACTTAATTCTTAAATTCTAAATAGATGTATTCCAAAAAATATAAGCATAATTTTGTGACTAAGATAATCAGATCAATTCTCTTATATCTTTTTAATGTGATCAATTCTCTTAAACATTTTTATATACCAACTAATTGGGATATAACATTAATATTTTGATATTTTTAGTTTTATATTCATAGATTTATGTAAATACCTTCAAATTGTTTTGAATATATAACTTTTCTTCTTCCTTTTTGGTCAAAAAAGTACTATAACTTATCTTAATGATATAATCCCAATGGAACTGTTCACAGTTTTTTTTTTGTCGCTACTGTTGGCAGGTTATATTCCGCATATGCTCGCAGTTGTGCCTATTGATAAGTTGACTTTATTATCTTTCTCAATCTCTTTAATTTCTAAACAATCCTTAGTTTCTGTATTAACTACGGAAATAATAATTTTGCAACTCTTAAGCCTAGATCTCGAAAAACAAGTAGTATATAATCAGCTAAACACTGAAATCATTTTATTAACAAGAGTTGCATCAAAATATCATTTGTCAAGCTTGTTTTAAAAGTTCTCATGAAAGGAATATATTGTATTTACCGTTTATTTTTACCATTATTTTATTTTCAACCGGTTTATTGAAAGAAAAAACGAATAAATGTGTTAAATTCTATAGTACTTTAACTGTAAATCATCTAATTGTAATGAGTGAATTAGTTCATGTTGGTTTGGCCAGACCAAGATTAGGTTAGGTAAATGTTGGTTTGAGAATTTCACTGGTGTGTGGTTGTGTTTTGTTATGGTAGAGCTTATGAAATTTCAACAGAAAGTTATAATTTGTAATAGTTAAACTATCCATATACTATCTTTTATACTTTACTTAAATCTTATTTTTGTTTCAGTTAAGTTTTAAATACTTCAGGGGTTTGTGTGTAACTCATTGATTTGTGTTAATATAATTATTGTGTTACTATCCAAAATCGCACACTACATGTCATTAAAAGAAAATGTTGAAATGTTTATTGGTCTTTGATTTATTATTTTATTTCACTTTGATCGGTAGGGAAAAGAGAGTCCAATCTTTATAGGTAACGAAAATTCCAACCATGTGGGGGTGCCGTTGGGGTTGGGATTGGGGGAAAGTCAAACAAAAACACTTTTAACCATCGATGTTTTATTACGGTATGGCCGTTGACTTGTAGTAGCAACTTGCTCGATTACAATAGTCTATTAAAATTAAAACGAAATTAACAGTTTTACAAAGAACACTTTATATTTCAAGATATTAAACTAGATAAAGAGGTACAGCAGCTTATTATATCGGGTTTCCATTCTAGCATTTTCATCCTATTGGACATTAATCTTCCCAAATAAGAAAATAGAAGGGTAGCTTTGTCCTTTGTAACATGAATTTCTGAGACATTCTTATATGAAAATTATCACAAATGAAAGGTTCTTAATACTGTTATTTACTAATTTGAACCTTTTTTTTTTTACCAAAGGCAACTTTGCAAATATTTAAAGACATATTGTGTTTTAAAAATCGCCGCTTAAAGTACGGCAAGTTTCACGTAATTATCAACGTGAGGTTGTTCAGCCAAAAAAGTGGGTGATGCTTATCGTGCTTTCTGATAGGCGTACTTTACATTAATTGATAATTAATTTGACTTATATACTATAATAGTACCAAAGTCGTCTTTACAGCTACTATTTAATAATACCGTACAGACCAGAGTTCTTTTTTTTCTCCTATGCTTTGTTTCTCCTGACGTGGATGATGTACGGTCCTCTGACTCTGATCCTCATCATTCAACACATCTGACATGAACACATATCATCTACGTCTCCTTTTTCTTGCCAGCTATATATCTCTGTGCTTATGTCTACGAAAGGTTTCTTTTTATAATTTACTATTCTCTCGTTGACACAAATAAATAGTAAATAATATTCTCTCTTTTATCTTCAAAACAGCATTTTAATATATTTCTTTTTACATAAAAATTTAGAATTTCTATGCAGATTATACTTATTTAATTGCAAGAATCCAAAAACTTAAGGCTGAAAACACGTCAGAGAAATCACTTAGATCACGAGCCGGAAAATGAAACATTATAGAAGATATACTAATCATAGATATTATTAGCAAATATTGCATATTTATTATATTGGATATTACGTATATTTGTATGTAGAATAGTATAAAATGTATGTAGTCATAACTATTATTCTCATGAGACTCGATATAATAATCTTTCCATCTTCTATTCTCATCATTCTTAATATGATATTAGAGTCACAATAATCTAAAAAAACGTTCGTTCTTGAGATCTTGAATGTTTTAAGCTATAAAGCTTTTTATATATTTTTCAAGTTATATAGTCTGCTAACCTAGAACCAATTAGTGATAAAAAAACAGTCCATCTATTTTATATATTTAGAATTCCTTCCAACTTCCGATATGAGATATTTTAAGTCTAATATGCCTTCTCGAGACTTTAGTTCTTTGGGAGCCAATCTCGAAATGTTCAGGCAAAGATTGATGAACCATCTTTGGATTAGATCGATGAAAATCGGGTTGGACTTTGTGGATCGTGAACTCTAATACTATATTAAGATAGATTGGCTTCCAATCTAAAATCAATTGGTAATAAGATGAGTGATTCATCTATCTTATATATTACTTAGAATCCTTTCTAACTTTAGATATGAGGCATTTTCTATCTATTAAGCATATCAACTTTGTTATTGGCGGACCAAAACTCCACGGTGAATCAATACGATCCATCAAAAAACACCAAAACGTGCCAACACATAGAGAGAAAACAGAGAAACCATGGTTCCCGAAGTAGAAATAATCTTTACTTAGAAAAGCTCAAACTGATTTAAACACTTTGACGACACAATTCTCAAGGTAAGTTTAGATATTGGTAACAAATGCAAAATCTTGCATGTACAATATGAACGTAAAGTGCATTCTATTTGAATAATCAAAATTGCTAATAAATTATGCGTATAAAGTTGCAAACATATTTTACTTATGACCCAATGGGAATAGGCATCTTTGTAATATTTTTTATTCTGTTATTATAACATTTACGTACTCTTGATCGATACATTTTACCCAAAAAACGTGTTTTATTCTCAAAATATCTCTAGAAATCTTGTTTTTGAGTCGCTTCATTGCATCAGCGTATATTAGTAGGCATCGTGTCAATTTCAAGTAGATCTAAATGGGGAAATCACATTTGAA